TATTATTATTATTATTATTATTATTATTATTATTATTATTATTATTACATTTCTATGCCATTAAAAGCGTTGCCACCACAGTTCTTTGATTTAAAGAAGGCCTTTACACTGAAGTGCTTTTTAATACAGAATCTGAATGAATATAAAAATTACTGTATTTTAATGCATGGTTTTATTACAGTTTTAAGGTGCAATCAAATGCCCCCTGTGCGTCCTGCACGTAGCCTCCAAACTAAGCGAGAGGCAAAGCACAGCAAGGGCAACTTCTGCCATTCGTTGCCTTACGCCTTGCGCTTCATCGAGATGGCCTTTTTCAGCATCATGAAAGGAGAAGGAAAGAGGCCGGGGCACTGTTTGGCTCCAGCCTGCTTCCCTTCCCTGCCCTGCCCTCCCTCTAGTACTCCCCCCTCCCTTCCTTTTCTCCCTGGCCAATTTTCAACTTCAGAGAGCCAGCTGGTGAAGTTCTTTCCATGCTGTAGCAGGGCAAGGTGGAGGCTCAGCATTCAGCTTCAGGTCAAAGGCCACAAAACCACAGATCTGTGGCTCTCAGGCAATGTCAGGAGACCAAAGGGCTGCATCCTTTTATTTATGATTCTAAGTAAACTTGAGTGCCATGGGGTTGTGAGAGGAGAAAATTACAAATCAATTAATAACAATGATGTAAGAGAACAAACCTTTGGTTTACTGTGCCACATTGCATGAGAGAGAACTGTAAGAGAAGAAAATTAAAATAAATCGTTTGGCCATCAAAATATGCATTCAGTAATCCAAAGTACAGACTAAAAAGAAGCTCATGTGGACTTACCTCACTTAAGTGTTGAAGGGTTTTGTTGAAATCTGAAATTCTAAAATACAAGTTTTCAACAGCTTGATCAGAAATTTCATGTGTGATCTTCATTAGTAAACAGTCCTTGTGCCAATCTAATTTTGACCCATTCTCCCAACACTATGGTACTCCAGGCCATACCATGTCATACCAGAAGTTCCCTAACCATTCTGGAGAGTTTTTTAGGAAGTACAGGGAGATGTAGCAAGGAAGCCACATTGTGTGAAGTTCCACTTGTAGAACCCTGGATCCAAGCCAATATGAAATGCGCATGCATATTATACTTTTTAAAAATGCTGAATTATATTTTTAAAAATTAGATATACCTACTTTAGTTCTGGCAGTGCAGCTGAAGCAACTTTTAATTGGTATTGATCAGTGTTGTTAGAATATTGCTAGAAAAATGAAGAACTATGAATCAGTTTCATATTTTACCATCTTTCTAGTGGACATTATAGCAACATATCTGAGCTCTCTCATCGTCATGGAATATGAATTACTATCACTGAATATTGTACATAAGGTGACATTCTCTACCTTAGACTGGAGTAACTAAGACTAGTCAGTCTGTCCTGCCTTGGACCACTGACAAGACTGCAGCTAAGGTCAATTTCATCCATGTAAACTTGCTCCCAATGGCTCTTTCCTATTATAAGTATCCCCCTTTCCTTTCCTCCAACACCATGGCTCTGACAATATAAAGAATGCAGCTTAAGGGTGACCCCAGAACAACAGTTTATCAGAATAAAGAGTCTTACTAATGTCAGGTTATATGAAGTATCTGAGCCATTTTCACCAGACATAAATTTCACAGTGCCCATGTAGAAAACTGAAAAGCAAATAAACTCAAATAAGTAAAAAGTCATCATTAGGTATGGCTCTGTTTTGAAAAATCTTGACAACAGAGAAGCACATACTTCCTCTGGTTTTACTCTGTAACTTCTTTGTATAATGTTCATTTGACCATTTTTGGGGGGGAGGGTTGTTTTTGCACAGAAATGAAGTTCAAAGTTTATATTTCTGATGTATTCCGTATCACCATTGGTCTGAGCTAAATGTAAGAGGAACCATAGTTTATTTTTATGAGAAGAAGCCTGCATGACGTTTGGACTACCATGACCTCCTTTCCCTTTCCTCAGTATGATGTGTTTACATCCTTAAGAATCTTGCAGTTTCTCTTTCATTTCTGGAGGCTGGGTAGGGGCCTTTCTCTGCTCTCTCTGTGCAGGCCTTGGAAACAGGCAGGCAGATGCATGCCTTAGCCGTTGTTAAAGAACAGTAATGTACATGATTTAGAGCCGGAACTGTATTGCTTGGAGTACAAGGCACAGGGCTGGAGCTGACCCTTACATCAACCATGTCCAAGGACCATACTTGTGGTATGAGAGAAAGGTATCAAAAGCCTCCACTTCAACTTTGGAATTACAGCAGGACCCCATATCTGCAAGGAGAGGCTCCAAGACCCCAGTGGGTGCCTGAAACCATATATGATAGAAAACACTATATGTATCACTATATGTACTATCTACTGTACATATACATTTCTTTTTTCACAATTTCATGACAGAAGGTTCGTTATTACCATGCATCCTAGCAACCTAAGCATACGAAAATCGTTTTTCCCTTTCCTTATTAAATCAAGGAAGCACTTCTCTTGGCCACTTTCTGGCAATGAACAATTTCTTTTTTAAACCAAGGTGAACCGCAGTTAAGTGAAAATGCAGTAACTGAGCCAGCAGATATGGTGGTCCTGGTATATACTTAGGTCTAAGTTACTGGAAATAGATTTTAAAAGCAAAATAAGTTCATCATAAATCATTAAATATATATATTTAAAAGTAACTAACCTGAGTCTCTACAGAGCACTGATAAGTTACATACATTATCTAAAACATTTGTTCCTGAAAGAGAAAAAAATGTACATGAAACATTGCAAAGGAAGTTTAACATTATTTATTTATTTAGGGAACTTCTATGCAGCCCCATTCGCCGAATTATAACTTCTCTTGAGTTTTCCTATCTTTAATGCAGATCATATCAACTGAAATTTGACTGATGCATGTTTGCCTTTCAAAACTTGAACAAGGTCTATCAATCTATATTTTCATGGACTGGTGAAATGAATATATGAATTCCAGGAAAACTTTAAAGAGATCTATACAAAGGGATGCAGCTATCTATACAAAAAGAAGTGCTAGCAAAAGGAAATAGAATGGAGAAATTAGTATTTGTTAATGCTATTGAAGTCAGAAAAACAATAGCTAAATTGCATGTTATGTTAAACATATCCTTTTAAAAGTGCTCACAATGTGGTCACTTTTTTTTTTGTAGGGAGATTGGATGCATAGTTCTCCAAAACAAATTAGACTGCCAATCGTGACTGGGACCCCATGCTAGTTTTCCATCAAAAAATTCCATCCCAGCTATAATTTGTCCCAGAACATGCTGTCAGCAAAGCTTTTCTTTCAAAATAAATGTGTCCAGATGAAGAATTTTTTTTAAAAAAAAAATCTGTTTAAATGTTTGGCCCACAAACTTTCAGAATTGCATAATCTATAATAAATGGAAAGAAATGGGAATGAACAACAATTCATTTCCATTACCATGGAACCACTGCCTCTACTACTAATATCCTAACAAGAACCGTAGAACTCTTGTCAGGAAGCTATGGATGCTGTGGGAAAGAATCTTCAGACCAAGCCCAGAGTAATCCTATGGTTTCCTCCTATAATGGTAAATACCTTGTAATTTTGGGTACAGTTGCTATGAGGGACCTTTGGAGAAGCAAAAGCATGCAATGCAATATTAGTGTTCCCCAGTTGCAAGTGAGGTTACAATTTCTAAAGGGTATTAGTAGCCCGGGTACTTACACGGAGACCAAGCAGTGGCAAAAATGAGGTATCTTTGCCACTGACCACTGCAGAAAAAGATGTCAAAGCCAAATGCATTAGGTTATGTGTAACCAAAGCAACTGATGCAAATGGAAGTGTTTTTTAGGCTTCATATGATTTAAGAATGAGCCCAGCTCAATCAAGAACTGTATAAGCAGAATGAGCAACCATATAAGTTACAGCCATGTCGTGCAAACTGCTGAAAGATATTTTTAAATATGTTCAGCAGTATATAAATCTATTAAATAAAAATAAAATAATATAGTAAGCTTTAATTTTATATCTTACCAATCACATTTGTAAAAGTTGATACAGTAGACGTTGATACTGTGCTATCTTGTGTATTCGTTAGTCTCTCTGTAGCTGTCATTCCAACAGAAATATGTGATGTTATTATTATTCGTAATTGTTTTTATTTATTTCATTGCTATACCACCGCATAGTTGAAGCTCTCTGTTCTCAGCATACAGATTATTTATTCTTTTTTTCTACACAATGTAACTGATATGGGTAATAACATAAAACATGTAAAACAGGCTAAATAGTGAGTTGTATCCTGCAGCTCTCATACTGCAAGTGTGCAGGGAATTTTACATGCTTGCAAATATTTGTATTCCAAAGTCAACATCAGGACACAGCTGCATGCACAGAATATAGAACTGATGCCATCATTCCTGTACACAGGTTATCCAAACACTTCAAATGCAATTTGAAGTCAATATATGTATTTCTTGGGTGGAGTAAGTTGACTGTTTATCGTGACACTCAAAATACAAGGGAGGGTACCACCCCATTCATTCTTCATATTTAGCATATTCTGATACCATCAACTCTGATATTGTACTTGAATGATCCATTAGATGGGAGTAGGAGGTATAATAATATGCTTGTCCTATCCTTCATACCCATTTTCAGAAAGTACAGTTGTGAGCTTTCTGCTCAACTCTGTGACATGTAAGCGGACGTGTTCTGTAAATTCTGTCCTGTCTTCCTTGTATTTTACCATCTAAATTAATTCACTGGGGAGATCTTCAAAGGATTTGGAATAAAGGCTTGTTAATGTGCTGATGTCACTATCATCTGATTCCAGTGAGGCTGCGCAGATATTGGACTTTTATTTAGAGTAAGTAGTTTTGCTGGCTGCCATAAGCAGCAAAACTAAGCTGAATCCAGCAAAACTAAGCTGAATCCTGACAAGATGTAGACATACTCGGCAGATGGGACTCATGCCCAGAAATTAGGTGCATATCCTGTTCTGGATGGAAAGTAACTCTGTCTGCAAGAATGGATGTATACTCCTGGGGACAAGGAGGAAGATCTTCTGGATTCACTGCTCTCACTTTAAGCTCGGAGGCCCATTCTTAAAGAGTTACATTGGCTTCCAATTAGTTTCTGACTCTAATTCAAGGTGCTACTTTTAACATTCTAAGTGGTTTGAGACTCAAATACTTGAAGGAGCCACTTTCCCCATTCCACCCTGGAAATGTTTTAAGATGTTCAGAGATGCTCATTTATGGGTTTCTTTGTTAAAGGAGAACTCATTGCGTAAGAACTAAGCACAGGGCATTCCACAGGTGGTGCCCCATGTAACAGTGAAGTCTTTCATCCCAGATTCTGGTAAGTCCATCTCTCAGTGATAGGAATCTGATGTGGGATGGGACATACCATATAGTCTAGCCTCTGCTATATGCAGGTTTTCCATATACCCGTCATATTTTTCACGATTTTACCAGTTTCATAAAAACTGATTACAATAGATTGCAATTCCAAATATCAAAACTCATATATTCAATGAGATCATTTCAGCTTTTAATAAAAGAATGCCCCATTCCCATTAGAATTAAATTTTCTGCAAGAAGTTACCCCCATCAATAAATCTATGCAAATGATTCTTACCTATAGTACTCAGAGTTTCAAGGGAAGAGGAATCTAAGGATACAAAACCAAAAAGTAATACAGTTGGGACATTGAGGAAGAAAAGTAATTTAAAAAACCTCAACCTACTCTATGTCAAAAATATTAATGAAATCTTGCCTGTACCACTGTTAGGGTAGGTGACAAAAGTGACAATGGATGAATCTGCTGTAAATAAATAAATTAATTTTAATGCAAATGGATAGATCAAAATGAAAGCTTTCAAAATACTATATCTTTCAATCATGATCTTGCAAGTGACTTCATGAAGTATTGCATCAAAGCTGAATTACTAGATTTTGGAATAACTTTATATATTACTTGTGTGCTATAAAAATGGAACATTTGCTCTCTATGATAACAATCCAAAGAAAGTGGAAACTACCATGCAAAAAAGGAAGCATGTTCTCTCTACAGATTTACGTGTAAAAGGCAGGTCTAGAACCAATGGACAGAAATTGTAAGTAGATTTGGACGAGCAAAAGGAGAAACCTCTTAGCAGCAAGAGCTACTCAGCATTGGACTGGACTGCTTCCTCCTCACAGGAGGTATTTGAAAAGAGCTGAAAGGCCATCTGTCACGGTGAGGCAGCTGCATCCTGCACTGTGCATCCTACATGGATGTGGGGTTCAATTACATGGCTTTTATGGCCCCTTGCAACTCTATGATTCTGCAAGCTTTAGCAGGTGGAACCACATAAAAGAGCCTTTGCGTGAAAGTGGGCAGCTTTATATATTTACTCTCATCCCAGCCATACAGAACTTTGCAGATACCTAAAGTTTAGACCTTCTTAACTGAAGGGAACTTCCACTTATAAACCTTTTCCCTTCCCTTATGGGAGTAACATCAAAGAGAAAACATATGCATCTCCTTAGAAGATGCGTGCATTCTAACCACATCTAGAGAATGTGCATCTATCCATTCACCAGGGGAATGTGTGAACTCCTTTCAACATTTTACACCCAAAGTACACAAAGCGTATGTGTGAAATACTTGTGTGTTCACTGTCACTGTTTCTTCATAATTTGCAAAGGTACCCTCATCATCCACAATTACAACTCTGGACACAGTGCAGATAATGTATAACTCGAACAAATGACTTTTTCCAGAATGTCAGCTAACACTGACACTTGCATTAATAAAACAAAAATGTTATATAAACAGAGGCAAACACATTATATGTATACAAATAATTTATTCTGAGCCTTTTTACCAGTATTCATGTAATGTATTGAAATTGAATTAAATGAAGAAGTTGTTACTGTCTTCTTTCTAGACCTTGCATGCTTGCTTTTCTTGCATTCTTGAATATGAAAATAATGAAAATTACATGCAATGACTGACATAATTCCATTTTCTTGCTTATATATTCTGTACCAGTCAGGTTTGAAACATCCACCCACAGAAGCAGATTTTTAATTAATTAGATTAATATCTAATATAGCCTGCAATATTCTGAGTTTCAGAGTCAGTTGTTTCTTTGATCGATATTATGCACAATGTTATATTTTATTATAGCTTTCTTCAAGTAAAGATTTTGAACAATATACATACCTGATGTGCTTGTCTGAGCTTTTCCAAATCTTGATGAGGCATTTGCACCATTGGCTGAAAGGTGAACAAATTAGTTCATTTCTTATGCAGGAATGAAAAGGGTCTTTAAAAACAACTTTTCTTTTTGTTCAGCAATATTTAACTTGCAGTATACACCACAAGAGGGCAATACACAATTATTTAAAATATACTGCAACAGCAAAGAAAATTACAAAACCTTTACTGGAAAAACAGAATACTTTTTACAGGGAAGCTCATTCACACCAGAAGAATTGGGTACCAATTGTGAAATAAAATATTACTTACTTACTTAAAATTTTATATTTAAGTGCTTGTATTTAAAAATAAAGCTTGGTAATAAAATTGAATCTTTGGTTTAAAGATAAGGAAATGCACAAATGTTGCTAGTAGAGGTCTATACTTTAAATCAGAAATCCGATCTCCAAACCAACTATTCTTTCACATGAAAAACTGGGCAAGATAAATTGACATATCTGCATTTGTTCCTTCTAACTGTTTTTTATATCTGTCCAAGAGCAAAATAGCAATTGCCTTCCACATATGAAAGACAAAAGCTCAATTGCCACAAAATTTTACCTGCCAAAGGTCAAAACATACTGGCTTGTTCAGATGACAAATTAAACCAGGGTTTGGAGCACAGGAACAAAATTGAATGAGCCTTGTGTTCCCACCCTCGCCTTCTTTGGTAACATTAGAAATTTGATTCCTGTTATCACCTCAGTGCCTTTTTCCAGTTCTGAACTAAGATGAACTGTAATTACTGTTGACTATAGTTTGTCTGGATGAACCAACTTTGAACCATGGCTTATTATGCTGACTTGTTCATATAAACCATAGTCAAAGCTAATCATTGTTTTCAGTGTCTGCATAACAACCAGCCAGAGTTGTTTAAAACAGGAACAAATTCTTCTTATCTTAGTCATATCAGGGAATAGCTCAAGGTAGCACATGATCCCAAGGCCAGTCAGAATCAGTCCCATAATGCCAAACTGTGCTTTAATATTATGTCTGAAGAAGACTGTTGACTACTTTGAGCTGATCTGAATTAATGAAAGTGATGCTTGAAATGCATATTGGTTCATTTTTGCACAGGCCTTTTTAGGATGCAATCTTACCTGGTACTTAAGCCCACTGGATGCAGTGGGATTTATTGTATGAGCATGCGTAAAATTGCACTGTAATGTTGTTTAAGCAAATATATCTTTATTACTGACTGTCAGGATCTTTGCTGCTTTGGTGGCCAGAACCTGAATAATCACCACCACCACCACCATATTCACAGGATTGGTCCCAGGCCAGCTGGAGCTCTCGGCCTCCTGATGAGTGCCAGCTGGAAGCCCTGGGGAAGAACTATATAAGGGCAAGCTCTTCCCTGTCAGATCCTGTCTCAGCATCCTGATTGCTGTAGTGCCTGCACTTTACCTGACCCAGATCACCTGGCTGTGATGTGGTCCAGCTCCTATACCCTGCCTGACCATCGCTGCATTTGGTTCCTGTTAAATCTTGCCATAGCCTGCCCAGTTATCCAACCTCAAGCTACTGGCACTTCTGCTTTTCTTCCTGTTCTTGACCCTTGGCTTGTTCATGATCATGTCCTCATTCTACCCTGACACATACTTCTGGTTCCTGTCCCAGGCCTATTCTGTGACTATGACTGGGACTCGCCATTAAATCTTGCTTTGGGACTTTGGTTTGTGTCTTGCCTCAAGCTGTTGCCCTGGTCCCAGTGTTATCTCCTGCCGCCCATATCCTGGCCCTGGACCCTGACACTTATGTTTATACCCTGTCATTAACATTCAAGGGAACAAAGCAATGATAAAATAAAACTTCAATAAGAACATTACATTCAAAAGAGTGCCATTTGAGTGGATGAAAAAACAGTTATCCTTAGAAAACAATATCAACCGTAGTGTTTCTTCTCCTTGCTTGTTTTCTTCATTCTGCTAGGAAAACTAACTTCATGAAGATGGAATCAGAAAAGGTAGGAGGTGAAGACACCCTTGTGAACATTTTTCAAGAAGGGCTGGTCCTACCATTAAGCACAGTGAGGAAATCACCTCAGACAGCAGATGTTGGGGAAGTCTATGTTGGACATGGCCTGCCCTGTGCCACCTAAACTAGCCTGTTGCCCCATGTGCAGCCAAGAACTTCCTTTCTATACCTGAAATGAGGGGCGAATAACACTTTGACCTTTGCAGCAGGCAGCAAAATGTCATGAACCCACTGCAGTCTTTACCTGAAAGTCATACCCATTATAGGACATAACTCAAACTGCCAAGTGGAATTAAAGCAAATTAACAGGAGAATTCTGTGATATTTGGAGAGGAATGAAATCTTAAGATGCTTATCAGAATAATGGAAGTTCTGGTCATCAAGATGTTACTAAGAGTTGAATGTCTCTATCTGGAATTAGCTGTATTTGTTTGTAGTCTAGTCTGCGTAAACATGTGGATTGCTGGCTGCTGTCTCCTGCAATTCTACTGGATATATGTGACCTCATCCTAGTTTGGGTGGGAACCTTAACCCATGACACTGATTCAGAAGGGGAAGCTGAACAGTCAGACCCATTTGTAAGAATCTGAGCACTCAGATCTACCAGGCCTTCTACTGGCTGATGAGCCAGGAACGCATGAGTTGCAGAACTGTCTTCTACAGCTGGGACATCTGACTCTGATGGAGTACCTCCTTCATAACCAGGGATGTCTTCCATGGGAGCAAGGCAGTGAGAGAATGTGTTACAAGGTGCCTCCTTGGTGCGTCATCAACTAAAGAAGGCAGGGCAGAGTTATCTCATGAGATGCTCCTAAAGCCTGGTTTCCCTTCCAGGATCAAACGTCCAGCAGTGCTCTTTAAACCACAGCATCCAGGAGTAGTAAGCATGCACTGGTAACCTGGAAAGCTTCTTCCTTTCATTGAAACTGAACTTATTTTGGGCTTATTCTGTGTGCTGAACCCAGGGATTCTTGGATCGTTTGTTGTGATGCTCATGAACTGATTCTTCTCAAGGAACAATGTGGTGCTCTGCTAACTATGGCTCTGCTTATGCCTATTAAGGCTTATGTTTGTTGCTATAAAGCTCATATTGAAATTTCTGCTTCAATTCCCAGAAGACAGGAAATGACAGTATATAGTTGTTCTCTTCTGTACCTATATGCATACAGACAAGAACTACAAATAAAAAATGTCAGCACCACAGTGAAATCTGCAAATAAACCTGGCACATCATGCTGTGATGTGGCAACTTTTGTACTGGTGATCATGCTGCTTCACACACATAAATGTGTTCTTCCACTCAGAAGACAAAAATACCCATCTGGACTAGATTACACAATGAGTGTCGCACAAATGCAGTTCACAAGTTCAGGTGTTTTTGTTTTGTTTTTGGAGCAGTGTGTCTGTCTGTTTCTGGGTTCTTTTTGTCTTTGAAATAATCTGCTGCAATATAGCATTGAATCAATGACTGTAATGTACAGTTGTGGGTTTAAAAATTATCTGCAGTTTTAAAAGTGAAGGAAAATGTATTATTTAGTACCCACTGCAAAACTGGAATATCTGCTGATAAAATCCAATTTATCTTGTGCCTGCCACCAAGCAGTTTAAGCACAGTATCCAGTTGGATGCTGAAAATCAAGATTTGCTTTAACTGAATTTTTTACATTAGAAAGGCATCCCACAGAATGCCCAAGAGTTCCAAGAGCAGAGACTGTTTTCCATGGCTACCAGTCAACTCTTCCACGTTCCAAAGGACTTCTGTATTTCATCCAGGACAAATCTACACCTTACAAATTCTGCCCTTAGGCACAGTGAATACGAGATGAGGAATGTATTCCTGGTTGCTCATCAGCCTCTTTATAGAAAAATGTTAAACATGTTCTATCTGCATTCCAGATATAAATCATTGCCACAAAAGGGGTAATGTTTAATACAGACTGAATGTATGGTAAATCATACGATTCTGCTGTAGTTGGCTTTTACAATGTGATCATTTTTTGTGATGGTTTGACCAGAAAATGGTTAAAACTAATCTGTCCGCAAAATGTGCAGTAAATACTCAAGCAAGAGCTACACATACCCTTTCTAGCATGAAGGTCTTAAGTATTCGTGGATAAGCTGAAACTGAAACAAGATCCATTTTCATACACCACAAAGAAAGTGGGGTGAGGTGCCTCAGATTACATCATGCTTCTGGCAGAGTGGTTTTTAGGCATCAATTCCACTATCCAAAACCAAATAAACAAATGAAAAGGAAAAAGCTCAAATTATCTGAGCTCTTTCTTTTGATAGTTCAACAAAGAAGTAGGTATGTGAATCAGCAAGTATGGCTTCTAGAGTTACAGCATTTTTCCCATCATTAGTCATCCTTCTAAAATATAGAAAACTTTCTGAATTTAGAAATTTAGGCTGGTGGCAGGACAGCAAATAGTGTGTATCTCTTTTGATGTTTTGTGTGCTTGCTTCTTGTATAGAGAAATTTAAATAGGAAACATTTATTATTTATAGATGACAATGGCACAGATTTCTACTAGTGTTTTCCATCTGCTAAGCAGAATTGAAATGGTATTCAAAGAAAATGCAAACCAATACAAAATGCGGAAACCCACCTCAAAAATCAAATAATAAAGAGGCACAGATTCAATGCACAGATTCAACAGTGAAGTAGCCCCTGTCTGTCACTTCCGGCACTTCCTACCAACCCAAGGCCCACCACGTCTGGACTGCTACTCCCTTCCTTTCGAGGCCTGAAAGAGTTTCAGAGCCCTAAAGATGCTTCCTCAGTTACTTGTCCTGTCTGTGCAATAACATTATAACTGACTACACCTCCTTCACTTAATATCTTTAAGTCATTGGCATTGTTGTTATGTGCCATCAAGTCATCTCCAACTTATGGCAACCCTGAAAGCTGTCCAAAATGTCCTATCCATGACAGCCCTGCTCAGCTCTCGTAAATTCAAGGCTGAAGCTTCCTTTATGGAGCCAAGCCATCTCATATTTGATCTTCCTTTTCTTCTTCCGCCTTTGACTTTCCCTAGCATGACTGTCTTCTCCAGGGAGTTTTGCTTTCTCATAATGTGTCCAAAATCCAAAGCCTCAGTTTTGTCAGTTTTGCTTCCAAGGAATGTACTGATTTTGGACTACTTGTTTTGTCTTTCTGTATTTGAATCATTGATTGTTCAGTATATTAGACAGCATTAAAATTAGGATACAATTGTCAGCATGATATGAGAAAAAGGCAGTAACAGTATAGAAAAGCTGGGGAAGGCAGCAGGTGTAGTTTGGTATTTCTGCACGAGTGTCCAAATATTCTAACAGCACAAATTGAAATATGTGCATCCAGTTGTCCAATTTAAGAAATGGTGACAAGTGTTTAACTCTTCTGCTTCCACCTTCGCATGGAATCATTCTACACACAGAGACAAAGCGATACAGCCTGATCCTAAACATGTTCAGCAAGGAGTGGCACCAGGGGTGCAAAGGAGCAAATTTAACAGGTGCAAAGTCTGATCCTGGCTAGAGATGGTTAAGATGTTTCAGATGCCTCCCTTCATCCCCAGAAAGGAGTGTCACCAGCAACATCCTCTTCAGAGACCCAAGCTACACCTGTAGAAAGCTCTATGGGCATAAATTTGCCACTACAAGTAGGCCCACTAGCAATAAATCCCAAAGCAAAGCATTATTGGGAACTTTCTGGTACCCTGGGATACCAAATAATCAGGCCTTTCTTACACCAGTCTGGTTTGTTTGTTTGTTTGTTTGTTTGGTTTTTTGTGATGAAGATGAAGTCATTCTTTAAATGTCATTAACAGGGAAAAGAATCTAAGTCCCACTATTCACCTGCTGCGGCCAGTGCAAACTGGAAAAGATATAGAAGTGGTAAATGGTTAGACACTTCACTTCTGTTCATCCTGGTTTAGGATTACTCTGCCCCTTCCTTGTTTTGTAAGCTACCCCAAGGCTCTTTGCAAATGGGGTGGCATAGAAATGTTTTAAATAAAATAAATAAAAATAAAATACATCTAAAATGTCAGCCCTCTATAGTCCTCAGGGAATGTAACCCACTCAGGGAGCCCTATGGCTAATGATGCGGGACAAAAATCCAATAAATAAATAAATGTGGTTTACAGTGGCTGCATCATCAAGAAAGAATTGGAACCGGTTCCCAGAAGTTCACAAGTGCTGTTCTTTTAGGAGCCATATCCTGTCCGTCTGATCCCCGGGGGAGAGGCTGTTGACTGAATTGAAGGAGCATGCCTTGGGCTCTTCTGGGGGGCAGAGAGGTGTTCCTGAAGGACACCCTCATTCCAGAAACCCTCTCCACTCAGGGGAAGTGAGTGGCTTTAGGAAACTTGAGAAAACAGATGCACCACTTGAGCTGCTACAGCTGCAAGAGGGACACATCTGTCTAGGTGATAAAAACTTGTAGGTTGCTCTAAGCCAACACTGGGATCATCGGTCTTAACTTAGTGGAAGAATCACTATCTGCAACCCTGAATATGAGGCCACAGTTCCTAGGTCAGCACCTGTAGTGCTGGCTAGAGTACTGAACCTATCCTATTCTGGTCATATTTTCATGGTCACCCAACCCGGTGTCCCTTTGCTGGAGTTGTTCTCCAGAAGAGATAGTGGAACCCCCAATGGAACAGCTTACTACAGTACCTTCTTATCATGTTAATGCTGCCCATTAGGTGTGTTGCAAGAATTCAGATAGTCTGCTCATGTATGAGGACTCTTGCCTGAGTTTTTCTGAGGCATGTGTGCTTGCCTTAACTCTGGTCAAAGAAAGTCCCCTCCACTTCTCCTGGGCTTCACCTGTGCTTATCTACTCAGCAACCACCATGCATGTGGTATGAATACATGAATAGGAGTACAAGAAAAATCTAGTTTGGATTAAGGACCAGTACTTCGTGGGGTTTAAATTTGCCTTCGAAGCATGCCTTCTAAGCATTCAGCCGTGTGGTAGCCAAAGAAAAAATATATCCTGGCCCCTGAGAACGAGTAAATGGAATGTAGATGGCGGTAAACTCTACAGCAAAAAGTAGAAATCCCTGGGCTAGTATAGAAATTATATGTAAACCTAAAAGTAATTCCTGGAAGTAATTAGTGTTTGCTCTGGAAAATGTGTTTAGCATTTTCCTTTATTATATTTGGTGTGTGTTTCATAGCTCCTAAAAGAGCTCGGCCAACCCTGGATGAACCCCAATTACATTTGCCTTTCTGTATGAATTGATGATGCAATGATCTTCTGCTTGCCGATTCCTAGTATCAGTAAGCAGATGACATATAGCTCTACTCCTCTTTTCCACCATTTAATCCCAGAGATATAGTTGACATTTTGGATAGCCATCTGGCTGTATTGTTGGGATGAATGAGGGCCAGCAAACTGGAAGCTTATCCGAATAAGACGGAAGTATTGTGAGTTGTGATGCTCTTCCCCAAGCACTAGAATCAGCATCAGTGCCCCCTCCCCACAGCAGAGCTGTTATGTTACAAGGAAGTGTTTTCTTAGAGTTGGCTCCACACTTCTGGAATTGCATCCCCAGGAAATATCTACATGACTTTATTACTGCTGGCTTTAAAAGAAAGAAACCAGAAGCTACTCATCCCCTGGCCTGTATTTGCTGCTTTAAATCATTTGCAGCTCCTGTGCCTAATTGTAATTGCATGCTTATGTTTTATAATATTGTAAACAGTCTTGCTGTCTTTAAGTTCTGCCCATAAACAGAGGAACAGCAACAATAAAAATTCAAGGATCTCTCCTAGGGAGGTGCATAGTGCCAAAAGCCTCTATTTCAGTGGCATCTTTCTTTCCTATGCAAACTGTAGGCACAGATGCACTCTGCCTTCTGAATTGGCACCACAATGGGGAGCAAGGAGTTGAAACTGCCATCTGCATGCTGCAATCCCTAAATCTGGGCAGGAAAATCCCTGACATAGCTGCATGCTACATGCTATTTGAATAGGGATCCAGTTTGTCAGGCTTAATTATTTTTCCATTCTGGTGTAGTCTTTTCTATTTTGTTGGTGAAAATCAAACATGGATATTGAACCTGCTATCTGGGTAAGTTTTATTTTTAGGAGCATTTTCAGACAGCTGTGCTAGACATAATTAAGGATACTGCAATGCGTTACCACATCTTACTAATCTCCTCTCACAGATCTTCAAATGATTACAAGAGCTTCCAACTTCTCTAAAGCCTGTTTCCATATGTGGAGCATTTCAGACTGTGGTGGCGCCACACCCATTTACAGAGTGGAATTGGATAATGAGGGAGCAGTGCAACTCGTGCCAACTTTCCTTAAGCAGCAGCACAGGTCTTTACATGCTGAAGGATCTGAAATCTCAAGCAGCTGATATGCAGACATGCCTGTATATGTCACCTTCTTAGCCCTTATCAAGCGATAACTGGCATCCCCCAGCTCAATTCTGCCAAGTTGTCCTTCTGCAACATTATCACACCAAGTACCTAAGGGTCTAAACCATTGGCACATGTCAGTCTCCTTATACATTTTTTTTTCTATAAACCAAAACAGGGCACAAAAGTATTCCAGATTTTCCATAGGAATAATTTTACGGGGCACCTTTATACCTGAAACAGCAGGCCCCAAACAAAGGAACAAAAGAAAGTTCAGTACAGATCATCTTGGTCTCCTTTTAAAACTAAACATTTTAGCTAGAACTCCAGCAAATGGAACTAAAATCATTTGAGGAAAAGCTTTGCTTTGATTTTTTAAATTTAACAGACCAAACTACTGTTATGCTTAGAAAAGGTAAATAGGCCTAGCATTGTTATGCAGATTTTCTTGTTTTGCATAGCTTCTGGAAGGATAAAAAGTGAAATTAGCTGCTAAAAAACATTCTTATGTTGATAGAACCTTCCTGGGGGAAAATTTGAGCCAGAAAAAGGGCTTTTCATATGCAGCATTTTTCTTGCCTGAGGCACTTTCATCTGGGGTCAAAAATGTCCCCAGATGCTACTAATGCTAGTTTTTTGCTGAGGCAGATATGACAACTCTTTGAGAGTAAAATACTGGTAATAAAACAGAGGTACCTATAAACTGTTCAGGTTTCATAGTTCCTGATGCATCACAAAACTTGCTGTAGTGATTATGCTACAGTGATGGTTTATATGATTATAAGCATGCCTGGAAGAACTCCACATGCCTACAGGAGCAGGTCTGCATCAAATTATCAGAACTCTGATATTTTCAGCATTTGCTTCATTTAAAAAGTAACTCCCGTGGCTGGGAGCTAAGTTTACAAACATGAAGTCTGAATCTACAAACAGTCCAGAGGGTGAGGAAATTTGTGTCTGGAATGAATATTTGCCTTTCTTTCGTGACATCCTGTTATACTCCCCTAAACATACAGCCCTGCTATTGCTTATAGTTTACCTTTGCATCTTCTTTTGGTAAAACCATGACCTTAGGCAAAAAGCTTGTCTTTAAATCCTTATTTATATTGCAAAAGTAAACAAATTTTTTTAATGCAGCTCTCTAATTTGATAACAAGACCATATAGAGAAACAAATTTATTTATGACTAGAACCATTGGCCATACTGACCTGCTCTACCTAGTCTGCATGAGGATGATTGACAAGCTTTTTAAAGACATACAACTCACACTCACAATATACAGGTCTCCTTTGTAGAGCAAGGGATGAAGCATGCAGAAACAATATCATAAAGTAATATACCAACTGGGCCACTGACGCATGATGGGCCTGATGTCCAGAAATGGGAAATGGACTGGAAGGAAGAGTGGTCTGCACAGCAATTTAGCCGGATAACCCTGCTTTTGAGCCTTTATTTTCTATCAGTGCTAAACCAAGGTATTTCCACAAACACAGATAAGACACAACATTACTTACCACAAGGCAGAGATCTGCTGTACCGTGCTGTCTTATTATAGACCCAGTTATCCTTCCTCCAGCGTATAATGGTGCCGTCATGGCAATTTTGAGTTTGATTTATGTCTCCATTAGCCCACATTCTGAACATGTACAGCTCTCCAATCATCCCATCTGCCAAAGATGAGGACTTGTCAGGATTCCCTGAGCATCCAAGTAAAAGTTGCCCATTCGCAAAAAGCTGTCCAGTTTTAGCTATTTTTTCAGATTTTTTTTCTTCGCCATTTATATATACACTCACTTCTTGCTGTACACTTTTCCACCATATGCATACTTGGTACCAAGTATTCACATCCAGCTTTTCTGTCCAGGTTATTTCTTCCCCAAATATCCAAACTGTCAATTTGTCGTGTCCTCCTTTAAGTCCAAGTTCGTACTGTTCTGTCGCTGACAGATTGCCATCAATTTCTTTACTGTAGACAAATGCAGTCCAAGAATTTCTGGGACTATACAGTTTAAGATAAATGCAGACTGTGAAGTTTCTAAGTGCAGGCACCGAAATTCCAGGTGACAAAGTCCAAACTTCATTACATGATGTATTAAACACAGCTCTGTATTGTCCTAAGAAACCATCCTGAGCTATAAGGAAAAAATATATTTTTAAAAAATAATTGGGAACAAACATGCCTAACTATTGCAACATTATTATGGTTGCCTACAAATGTTTTTATTTAACCAAAGAAGTTTGTTTGAAACTCACAGTATACTTCAGATCATCTACAACACTGAGACGGCATGGCGACATATATCACACTTATGAATACTTCTGCCGCTGTGTTGACAGGTGAACCAAAGCAGTGTGATTCCTTTTCATGCTGCAAGGGTAATGTACAGTGTTTCTTATGATATGAGAGAAGCCTGGGCTGGCCATTAACCCCCAGAGAAAAGCTAACTGCTGGCATAAGAAGGAGCAAACTCTGTAGAGCTGCTAAGATCTACCAGCATTAGCAGAAAGAGCAGGGTTTCTGTAGGTTCCATGCCACAGACGTGGCACAAAAACCCAGTTTCAATAAAGCTGAATCGTTTAGATTTGTAATTTATGCCAATGACCTCACCATTTTACTAGCTGTCAAGTTATTTCTTTGAAAGCACATCTGCAAATACACTAAGTATGGGGGAAGGGCATATGAAAAGTTTGCAAATCTAGCTCTTTCTGAATTGTTCTGCCCAGTACTTTCCACTCCCCAGAAGCTTAGGGCTACTACTACTGTTGTTCTTGTTACATCCCATCCCATATATTCTCCTCTTGTGAGGAACCCAAGGTGGCTTACATAGTCTTCCTCCTCTCCTTTGTATTCTCACAACAAGCACCCTATGAGGTAGCTTACACTGAGAGTACATGACTAGCCCAAAGTCACCTGTACAGCTTCATGACCAAGTAGGGCCTGGAACCTGGATTCCCTGGGTCCCCAGTCTAACCACCATGCCACACTGGTTCTGTACTGTTAACAGGAAACATTACAGCAAGACTTTCATGTGGTATCTCATCACCTACACTCTGGTAAATTCTCCATACTGTCATCATAACTGATTATTGTACATAAGTTCAGAAGTTCAGTAAGAGGTAGTAACAGCAGCTTGGACAGGTTGCCTCTACCGTCCTGAGTCCTTCCATCCATACAAAATCCAGAGGATCCAGAGGCAAACCCAAGAACTACCCCCTGTCCACAGTCCCAGTGCACAGATATTTGGAGTAACTATTCTAGCTAGCAAATAAAAATAGCAAGCAAATTAATTTACCAGTTTCCAAGCACAATCAAGTGTATCTAAATCCTATCAAGTGCAAAACTCATAGTTAAAGTAACATTAGAACCATTTCCAGAGACCAGTGGCTTACTACATATGCAAGTCAATCACTTTTCAAAAAGTGCTCCATGTATTAAGAACCTGGGTATAAATTACTTATGAACCTGGAAGGAAAAGTAAATGAATCAGTCTGCTGCCTCCCCTACTCCCTATGCCTCCTTTTCTCCAGGCAGAAATATAGAACCCACTCAGCCAAATGTTGGGATTTATCGGTCCCTCCCTCCCAGAGGTCAAGATCTGTGCATCTCAATTCAGAGATGAGCTGTAGTTCCAGAAAGAGCAGCGATACCAGCATGAGACAGGGTGAGGTGGCTGCTTCTATGATTTTTCTTGTAATTGTTATGAACAGGCTACAAGGGGTTAATCTGAGTTGTTATCATTGTACTTTATTGTCAAACAGAGGGAGAAGTGTCTGCCGGATTTGCTGCCTCACATGCCAAAGTAACTTGGGTTACTTTGTACCTTGACTTGGGGTGGGGTGTGTCACTCAGTATCTGGCACTAGAATGACTTGGGGCAGCCCTGCTCAATAAACATGAAACTGGTATTCAGCTGATCAGGCCAGAAAAGATGCGTAGAAGCCTGTAGCTTCCTCTTTCACATACAAGATTCATAAGACATTGGCAAATGCTAGGATTTAATCACCAGGGCAAACAAGTACCAGAGAACAGATTGTTGTGTATGCACAGATGGACTCACTGATATCCCTATAAACAATAATTTTGTATTATTAGGGTATTCTAGAGCTTTTATTTTCTACAAATGTGGCCTATTAACATTTAAAGTTCATATCTTATATGTCAAAAACATACAGAGTTCGATTAAAGTGAATTTTAAAATCTAAAATTAATTTCAAATTGCTTCCCTTATTATTTGAAACAAGGTTACTCAGTAACCTTGAATAAGGCATTTAATTAGCTTACTTCATACAAAAACATACTTTGAAAAGTGCTGTAGTAATTATAAATTTTACATTTTTAAAACACTCAGATTGTTACACTTGACTTTCATGAAAATATAATTCATTAGAGACAACATACTCGTACTATGTATAGACAGAACAAAGTCCTTCAACTCCCATCATGCCTAGGTCAGTTGTGGGACTTTTTTATGTACAAGAGTCCATAGGATGGCACCTTAAGACTACTTTTGGCGTCATAATTCTTAGTGGCATATGTTGAGATACAATATTTGAATGAATGCAGAAAATAAAATCTTACCTCTGCCAGAAGGAGCCAGGAACAAATTAAGCAAAAGAAGAGAGAGCGAAACTTTACATTTTACTAAGATTTCCCATACTCTGTCAGCACAGCTATGGTGAATTCTACGGACAATCATCCTAGAAAACACAAGACAATATTTAAAAATAACTACATAATATAAATAGTATCATAACTGTAAAACACTTTCTTTCTTACTTATACCAGTGTTTTTCAAATTAAAAGTTTATCACAAATGCTTTAATTAACAGATCTGTAGCAAGGGACACCCTCTGCTAAAACATAGTCAGTTCTTCATTGTCTTCCCTATCTGTTCTTTAACATGCAGGCCCAAGGGACTACAGGGCTTGGCCCAGGTCACACTGTCAGTTTGGAAGGGGCAACTGAGAAGGCCAAAATCCCTGTTTGTTCTGTCTCCCAAATGAATAACTCCACCACTTATCAATGTGCATAGAAAAGAAAAGGCATGACCAAGAAGTGGACAACAGGTGGCACTGATTTGCATAAAATTTGTATATTATTATTACATTACTTCTATACCCCAACTTTCTTCCTCCTGCAATAACCTAAGGAGGCTTACAAGGTTCTCTTTTCATTTATCTTCACAACAGCACCTTTACCTTGTGAGGTAGGCTCAGCTGAGCATCTGTGACTGGCTCAAAGTCACCCAGGATGTTTTATGGCTGAGGGGGACTAGAACCTGGATCTCCAAGCTTCCAGTCTAGCACTTTTAATCACTACACCAGACTGTCTCTCTACTAGATGTCTATTTACCAATTATGATCTAAACAGAACTATAGTACCTCTCTCTGTGATGTAGAAGACTGTGATGAGGAAACGATGTGCTTGTCTGTTCAGATATTGCTGACGGACAGCAATTCTTACAGTTCTGTATATTTGTAATTTAAATTGTAATAGGACAAGATTGCTCTTCAAATAGTGCATGCCTTTACACAGGGGGCATTCTTCTGACAGCCCTTCAAACAGAGGGCTGTGCCCCATAAAAAAGGACACATGGCCACCTTATGAATGGAGTACATGCAATGGGAAAGGCCCTAAATCCTCCTGCAGTTCGCTTGGTTGCAACAACAGACCAGATGTTAATGCTCATTGTGGTACCATGGACAGAACCCAGAGAGCTCCTTGGCAAGAGCAACCAAGCCTATGGCCACTCTTGCCAAACAACTAGCCAGAGAGTGCCACTAAGAGCTGTCATTTTGCACAGTGGTCAAGGAGTCCCGCTCCGCCTTCCTCTATCTCTAAAGAGACTTGAGGCAGGAGTGGGCAATCTGCTAGTCAGTGATGGGTGAGGAACATCTGATGTCTCTGCTGGCCCACTTGGCACTACCACTTGCCCAGCCTGGGTTGGGATCCTCTCTCAAGCAAGAGCAAGGAAATGGGGATGAGCAGGGGAAACAGCTGAGTGGCACCGAGCACTGTCATTCAGCTGATTCTCCCCTCTCCTGCTCACACACAAGGTGCTTCCCTCAGGCATGCAGAGGGGCACCGATCCTTTCTGCAGCGCCACCCAGCTAATTTCCTCCCCCTCTTGCATGAGTGTGGATCAGGCACCTCTCCTCCTGCCCCATCTGGAGCAAGAAGTGAGGTTGCCTGATTGGCTCTCTTGTTCTCTCTGCCGCAAAGCAGGACATGTATGTGGTTTTTGCAAAGATGGCTTGAAAGTTGTGGTGAGTTGTGTTAAAGAGTGGATCCTCATTCCTTCCTATGATGTCTCCTGGGAAACCTCCTGGAAGACTGGGAGGGAAGGAAATGGGGCAAGGAAGGAGACTTAGCATCATGACCCATAAGTCACTTTGAGGTAACAAAACAAAACCATAAGCTGTGTTAACGGAGGGTTGCTTGTTGTGATGTGTGAACCCAGCTGCTCACTGGACCAAGAGACAGGAGAATACCTAGACTTTGACAATTTTGCATCCATCAAGTTTTACTTTTGGTTCACTGTTAATGCTTTATCAGCAATGCAAATGTGTATATTAGGGGAATTCTTTTCTTTCTCTGAGATGGCAGTTGTATCCTAGACTGATCTGCAGCATGCTGTATGTAAAAGCAGATCACAGTTCCACTTAAAAACCACATATATTTGATGCCGATCACTTTAGAGTTTAGAGAATTCCACACAGCTTTCTGGAAGGCAGAATCAGCTACATGAATCCTTTGCATAAGTTGTTTAGCCCAGAATTCCTGATCTACTAGGGACACTGTCTTTTAGACGTCATTTTAAAATAATTCATTGGATCCTGGCTAGTTGTTTGGAGTGCAAAGAAACACTCTTAATTGTGTGTGTGTGTGTGTGTGTGTGTGTGTGAGAGAGAGAGAGAGAGAGAGAGAGAGAGAGAGAGAGAGAGAGAGAGGAAACTGCCTATTAAATTAAACATAGGGAAGGGTAGTTGCTTATTGCTAATGCAAGTTCTTCATATTAAGGGTATCCTATATCCAGTGCCTAACATTTTCTGTTTAAAGCAGGGTAGACAACATACAGTCCCCATGGTTATCTTCACGGGGTCCTGATTCTATCCCTGCTTAACTGGTTGCGGCAAGCACAACAAAACAAAAAAAAAAAAAAAAAATCATGGTTTTGCAAGGAAACAAGGCATGTGGGGCACCCCCTTGCTTGCAAGCAGAATCACAATTCCAGACACTTTCTGGAAGTACAGTTCTCCTTGCAAGCACTTCCAGCACCAAGTTGCCATGTTGTTTGCCACCACAGCAAAACCAGCATCTATTTTGGCAGTGATGTATTTAGATGCAGCCCCAGGGTGGTCCAGTGGGGAAATACAGCTGCTAGAACCCCACAGGTTGCCCACCCTGGGTTCAAGGATGAAATTACTGGTGCCATGGAAGTCTTCCTTGTCTTGAATTCTGAGGAGGCGCTGCCAGTCAGAACAGACACCTCTGATTAGAATCTGGCTGGCCCAATAGTCGAATGCTAGGAAGTAGGCAGGGTTCCATGTCTGGCCATGGTCTTTGGTGCTTAAGAAAAACTAGTTAGTACAAGCAATTGTTATGGAATCCCAGAAGTTTCTATTCTGCACTCCTAGAATATATCAAAAATAAAGAGCAACACTGCTTACTACTCAGTGCGTTTTTAAAAGAAAAAAGAAAAAAGGAGCCAACCTTCTCTCTGCCCTTTGCAGTGCCACCTCTCACTTCAGAAAGATAGTCAGTGTGGAAATATAGAATTTGCTTCTTTATCATTGTGCTACATCTTGTACAACTGAGCACTGGCACTGATACAGGTCTGCTCTCCTAACTGCTATAAGCAAAAATATAAAAAAGGAAATCCTGGATTTTTCCTGCTAGACCACAGCATGGTACACTGTAGCAGTTTGAAAGCTAGAAAAGTAATTTTCCTAGCTGTCTTCATTTCTCAGACCTACTAAAGAAAGGGTGTCTCAAGATGGGAACTAGTAACCCGAGACCTGAAAGGCCATTTTTTCCTACATAAGTATGCACAAACTTTGTGAGCATCACTGAAGGTCTCTTCCATGGGATGTGATGTTCCTAGACATGTTTATCAGGGTCTGTCGCACAGCAGCACTGCAGCTGTGAAACACCTTCCCTAGTCTGCTCTTTCACTTTAAATATTTCATTTATGTTTAAGAGCATAAGGACTTCCTTACTTGATGAGAACAGAACTTATCTAATCTAGCATTCTGATTCTCTCAGTGGCCAACCAAATTTTGGGTCAGGTTATAGCAATCCCTGGTTATAGTGATCCACCATAAGATTTTCTGTCTTTTCATACAGTGAGGGTGTGAATTCTTGTAATCTGAATATCAAAAATAATTAAAAGGTAGTATGATCTGGATAATGTGATTTTAAACAAAGCAGCATGTTTAGTTAGCACTTAATTAAAAATTATTCTAGAACGGTTGCCAAATGTTCCTTTGTAGAAGGGGTTTCTTTATATCAGTTAAGTAGCTATAGCAATGTTGTTAGCACTAATTCACTTTCATAAAGAAGTCAGTAGTATTAGTGCAGCAATTCCTGTTTATCTATGCTGTGTTCTAGCATCTGTTCCCTATTCAAATCAAAGTGAATATGTGGGACAAAACCCACAGAGACTTATCCATGAATTGGCATTGCAGTGCAAAGGACTCTGGCTGTTCCACTTTACTTTCTGTGGTTATTAAAGTGTGAATCTGCTTATGTTTCCAAACTGACATACAAAAATAGTAAACTGTCTTTTAAAAAAAAAATTGGCACAAGAAGGTAGATTTAACAGGCAAAGTACACACATTGGAAACTGTAGTGTCACTGTGAAAACTGGCACTGATTTAAAAGCCAAAGAAGCAATGTCCATATAAAATATAAAATATGGTCCTAATTTTATTCTGTAGGTTTTCCAGCAGGCACTAAAGAAGGAATTCATATCTCAGTGAAGTCAAGAGAATTGCTGTAACTCCCATTCAGCAATGAAATGACTTCTTGAAGACTCCTACGGGGCCAGAGGCAATGCATCATATAGATTTATAGCAAATATTAAGACCAATCTGCTTCTTTTTAAACCTCAGGACATTGTACATAAACTTGAATGTCCCTGGTACACAGGCATTAAAAGAGTCCTAGCGAAGCTACTTGGACCTCATACAAAGGAAAACAGATATGAGCAATTTTATTATCAAGATGTCTAGCAAATGTGTCCAGCAGCATGTTATATAACACAATGGAGGGTTCAGTTTGTTGACTTGTAAATGGCAGTAAACATCTTCCACTGGCTGGCATTCCAGGGATGCAACAAGAAGAAAGATAATTTCCTCATGGTCATTTCTGCTGCAGAGTAGGTTCAGATAATGAGATCTTAACTGTTGTCAACTTGTATTCACATTGCGTTTTTCATCACTTAGGTTCTAGTTACCTTCCTGCCCATTTAATCACCTTCAGTTCTCTGCTTCAACACCATTAAACTCTCAGGAGCCAACCAGGCTCTCCAACACAGATGAGAATACTCAAGCGATGATCCCTTCACCGAGTCATCTCCATACTTTCAATACTTATAAGCCACTGTTCCGATCTATGTCACCCGCAGCACTGAGATGTCCATCCGCAGATCAGAAGGCCTAAAGATTCAACAGCACTGCCTGTGCAGGCTTCTCTA